AGAGGCGCAGCTGTTCAAAACCGTCTACGTGTGTGTCTGGTGGTAAGGTTGTTTCAGGTTTGCTGACATAAATAATAATCTAGAAAGTTCTGGAAAGGAGCAGGGCCCTGGTGCAGGTGAAGGGCCTGGGGTCTGTCTTCAGGTCTCTGGCTCTGCTATCCTTCCTCTGCAGTCATTATTCTCAGAGATGAGACTTGAGATTTGGTCCCAACACCCATATTGAATAAGCTCCAGTGAAATCAGCCTTCAACAGAATGTATTCTTGTAAGCTAGCCTCACAGAATAGCTCAGGGAAATAAAAATCTTTTTCAAAATTCGAAACTATGGAGCTATGTTAAAGTTAAAACTTTCCTTTTTGATTAGACAGAAAAGGGGAAGAAATGCTGTGGGATGTCTTTCTGTATGCTGTGAATATGTATTGCTCTGATTGGTTAATAAATAAAACTGCATTGGCCTATAGCAAGGCAGCTTAGAGGCAGGTGGGAAAAATCCAAGCAGAGAGACAGGAAGAAGGGAGACAGAGGCGAGAGATGCCAGCTGCTACCAAAGGAACAAGATGCCAGCAGACCGGTAAAGCCACAGAACATGTGACAAAACATATATTAATAGAAATGGGTTAATTTAAGATAGAAGAGCTAGCTAGCAAGAGGCTGGCCATAGACCATACAGTTTGTAAGTAATATTAAGCCTCTGAGTGATTATTTTATAAGTGGCTGTGGGACTGAGGGGCTGGGTGAGACTGGAAGAATTTGGGACCTGAGAAACTCTCTGACTACAAAGCTATATGTATTTTTATCCATATATATATAAACAAATATTTATTAAGGGCCAACTGTGCTCCAAGGCAGTTCTAGAAACCAGAGGTACATGGATGGATGGATGAAAGAGATTTGAAGTTTACATTGTTCTAGGGATCCCACTGTTACTCGTCATTTCATTTGGAGTCAGAATCCAAATGATTCTATTTGATCCAATGGAACATCTTTTCTGATGGGTTCCTAGGTCTGTCTTAACAAAGGATCAAATGTTGATGGCCTAAAAACAACAAGAATTTGTTTCCTCCAAATTCTGGAGGCTAGAACGCCCCAAATAAAAGTGTCTGGTTCCTTGGAAGGCTGTGGGGTTCCTTGCCTCTCACAACTTTAGGTAGCCTTTGGCTTACCAGTGTCTCCCATATCATCACATGGCCCCCTTCCCTGTGCATCTCTGCAGAGCTAGTCATTGCAATGAAGACACTCTATTCCAGCGTGATCCCTTCTTAATTAAGCAACATTCAAAGACCTTCTTTCTCAATAATGTGACAGTCTGAGGTTCTGAGGGACATGAGAATATATTAGCAGATATCACTTGTACAAAATATTAGGTTTCTTATGATATTTTGTACACATATCCAGTGCACTTCAGTCATGGTCCCCTCCCACCATTCTCTCTTGGCCTCCTGCCACCGATTCTGCTGCCTCAGGGTAGAACCCCCTGCCTTCCTGCCGTCTCTGTCTTCCTGAGAATGGCTGGTTTCACTCAGTTTTGTGATCTCAAGTCCCGGTCATTCTGGCAAACAACAGAATTTCATTTTCCTTTATGGCTAATAATATTCCATATACCCCAATTTCCTTTTACAGGCATCAGGTGATAGGTGTAGCTGGAAGTTTTCCTGTGTCCCACAGCTGCTCTGTCCAAAATAAACACACAGAGGCTTATAGTAATTACAAACTGTTTGGTCTATGGTTCAGGCTTACTGTTAGCAAGCTATTACAACTTAAATTAACTCATTTCTATTAATCTATGTAATGACACATGTGTCGTGGATTTACCTGTGTTCTATTACATCCTGCTCCCCTGGCAGCCCACAGCTTCTCTCCCAACTCTACCTTTCTTTTCCCTGTGTCTTTGCTTGATTTCCTGCCTGGCTATATCCTGTCTTGCCATAGGCCAAGGCAGCTTCATTATTAACCAATGGTATCAGCACATATTCACAGCATACAGAAAGACCATCCTGTAGCACTTCTCCTTTTCTGTCTAATCAAAAATGAAGGTTTTCATTTTAACATAGTAAAATTACATAGAACAAAACAGTTATCAAGCAAGAATTACAGTCACAATGTGATACAGAAATATAGGATATAGACATGATGGGATAAAAGGGTAGATGTCAAATCTACCTTAAAGAGCAACAATTTGCTTAAAATATTTTACCTTGCTATGGATTTTAGTTTATTGATATAAATTTAAAGTTAATTTTGTTATACTATATATATATATTTCTACTCTCATTTAAGGTATTATGTTTATGTAACTCATTTAAATTGTAATGATAATTAAGAAATATAGATTAATAATAATTATTAATAACTAATTAATAAATTAGTCTTCTATGACAGTCAAACTTATAGTCATGTTAAGTTTTCTAGGTATACATAGATATATTTCAATTAGGTAGGTAATCTTCAAACACTTCAAAGACCTACAGAATATGGCATTTAAAATGTTTTAAGAACTTTGACTTTCTGAACATTGAGACATGTCCGCTCCTGACAACACCAATCTGCTTTAGAGAAGATAATGGGCATTGAAGAAACTCATTATTGACTTTGCTTTCTTGGTGGCAAAAGTTAGCCACTGGGCAAAAAAGTGCCCTTGCGTCAACTGTTTGATGGTATGTTGTATAAACTGGACATGCAGGACCCATAGGAAGGTGACCACTGAACTTTGCAAGGTGAGATGGTTCTTCAGGTTCCTGCTTTGCAGAAGAAACTGCCAGACATTCTATAGGACACAGGAAAAAGAAGCTGAGGGACTCTAGGCCTGTGGACTGAAGACGGATTCCCCAACATTGCAGAGGAACTTCGGATGACTGTCCAGGCAGACAGCTGTCTCTGTCATTCTAGATTTTTGGAAGTTGCTTAGAATGCACTTCCTGTTTACTTAGATAATATTGTATCCTTCTGAGGTCTTTGATGTAGTTGAAGACTAGATAGTTATAATTATGGTTTTCCTTGGTTATAATAAGAGAAAATGTAGTTATAAAACTCACAAATATAGGATAGATGATAAAATATTTTCTTTAATTTTGCCAAGTACAAATAGACTAGATATTTTAACTGTAATTCTTGCTTGATAACTATTTTGTTATATGTCATTTTACTATGTTAAAGTTAAAACCTTCCTTTTTGATTAGACAAAAAAGGGGAGGTACTGTGGCATGTTCTATATGCTGTGAATAGGTATTGCTCTGATTGGTTGATAAATAAAATGCTGTTTGGCCAGTAGCTAGGCAGGAAGTATAGGCAGGGCAAGCAGACAAGGAGAATTCTGGGAAGAGGAAGGCTGAGTCAGGAGTTGCCAGCCCGACACAGAGGAAGCAAGATGTGAAGGCAGAACTGAGAAAAGGTACCAAGCCACGTGGCTAAACATAAATAAGAACTATGGGTTAATTTAAGTGTAAGAGCTAGTCAGTTATAAGCCTGAGTTAATGGCTGAGCAGTTATAATTAATATAAGCCTCTGTGTGTTTACTTGGGTCCGAGTGATTGCAGGACTGGTGGGTGAGAGGTTTCTCCTGACCACTGGCCAGGCAGGACACAGGAAAACTTTCAGCAACAACAATGTCTATTTATATTTGGAAAAATTAAAGAAAATACTCTATCATCTATGCTATATTTGTGAGTCTAAAATTTCATATCTAATTTACCTTTTATCCTAACCAAGAAAAACTATAATTATAACTATCTAGTCTTCAACTCCAAATACCCTAGAAGGATATAATATTACCTAAGTAAACAGGAAGTACATTGTAAGTAACTTCCAAAATTATAGAAATGACAGAGACATCTGACTGCCTAGACAGTCACTCGAAGTTCCTCTGTAACATTGGGGCATCCATCTCCAGCATATAGGCCTAGAGTATCTGACAGAATTTTTAGTAAAGCAGGAAATTTCAAGGACTGTTCCATCTATTTTGGAAAGAATGTCAGTTGCTTTCCTCTGTGTCCTGCAGAATGTCTGGCAGTTTCTTCTGTGCAGCGGGAACCCTGAAGGACTATCTCACCTTGTTTTAGCAAAGTTCAGCAGTCATTTTCCTTTGGGTCCTACATGTCCAGTTTCTGTAGCTTACAGTCAAGCAGTCAAGGCAAAAGAAGTTTCTTGCCCAAATGGCTAATCTTTACATAATGAAAGTAATCTCCTATGGAGTTTCTTCAATGCCTATCATCCTCTTTGAAGTAATTGGTGCTGTCAGGAGCAGACATGTCTCACTGTCAAGAAAAGTCTAAATTCTTAAAACATTTTAAATGTCACATTCTATAGGTCTTTGAAGTATTTGAAGATTGCCTATATATTATAGATATATAATTATAGATTATAAAATATATCTTTGTATACCTAGAAAAATCTAACTAATATGACTATAAGTCTGACTATTATAGATGACTACTAATCTGTATTTCTTAATTATACATTATAATATCAAATGAGCTGTATAAACATAGTATCTTAAACAAGAGCAGAAATATACATATAGTATAACAAAACTGACCCTAAACCTGTGTTAATAAACCAAAATCCATGCCAATGTAAAGTATTTTGAGACCAAAAGTTGTTTTTTGAATTAAAGTAGACCCAATAATCTACCTCTTAAAAAATAATTTCTATATCATATCCCCTTTTTTTCTTTAGAAAGAGATTGATTATGAACATTAACTATTTCTAACCAACCCCCTTTAAATAAAAACAAACATTCATGAACAATATTTTGAAAATTTAGGCATAGTTTTTTTTTAATATTATCTCCTGCTGATTGGGGCACTGGTAATCTTACGGGGATTCTAAGAAAATTCAGAATTATGGCCAAGTCCTGATTGAGGTATTTTGTGTGGTTGGTCCATCTCAACCAATAGTCTTGAACCTGTTGTGGATGTTGGATCATCTGGGCCATCACTGTCATTGGAGGCTTTTCAGAGGGTCTTGTTCCATCAAACCTGATCATCTTTAACTTTGAATGAATTCAAATATATGGAATGCTTCACGAATTTGCAAGCCATCCTTGTACAGGGGCAGCGCTAGTCTTCTCTGTATCGTTCCAATTTTAGTATATTGCTGCCTAAGTGAGCGCTTGGGTTGTTGTGAAGGGCAGAGCAAGGAACACAGGTGTATAACTATATTGTGTGCAGACTTCGATTCCTTCTAATATATACCAGGAGGGGCTGAATCACATGGTGGTCCTATGTCATTTTCCAGGAACTTCCATAATCATTTCCATGTTGGTAACACCTATTTATGTTGTCTAGCAAGGTATAAAGTTTCCCCTTTGTCACATCCTCAGGGTTTGTTTTCTCTTAGTGACGGCCATTCTGAATGGGGTGAGATGGAACAGCATATAATTTTAACAGGTATTTCCCTGATGGCAAAGGATGCTGGGCTCTTTTCATTTGTACTTTAAATGACCACCTTGTTAATTCATTTGCCCAGTTATGGGCTGGATGGCTTGTTACTTTGGTGTTCAATTTTTTGAGTTCTTTGTATGTTCCTGATAGTAATCCCTTGTCACATGAATAGTTGGCAGAGATACTCTCCAATGCTGCAGGCTGTTCCTTCACTCCTCCAGTTGCTTCCCTTGCTGAGCAGAATTGCTTCAATTTGAGGCAACCCTATGGAGCAATCTTGCTATAATGTTCTGAGCTCTTGGACTCCCGTTCAGAATGTCATTGCCTTTGCCTGTATCTCAGAGTGTTTCCTTTCGTTATTTTTGGCTTCCGGCTTACATTAAGGTCTTTGATGCAGTTCAAAGAAATTTTTGAACAGGGTCAGAAATAGGGACCTAGATTCCTTCTTCTACATGCTTTCTCAGTTTTCCCACATCGATTTGTTGAAGAGCCTGTCTTTCCTCCAGCCTATGTTTTTGGCACCTTTCTCCCAAATTAAATTGCTGTAGCTGTGTAGTCCATGTTCTCTGTTCCATCCCCTCAGCGACAATATCAGCACATTTTGTTGGTTGCTTCTGCATGCCATTGGAAGCCACATGTTGCAGTAACTCCAGCTGTTGCTTGTCTTGCCCAGGATTGCTTTGACTATCCAGGCATTCATTCATTCATTCATTCATTCATTCATTCGTTCGTTCGTTCGTTCGTTCGTTCGTTCGTTCGTTCATTTATTTATTTATTTATTTATTTATTATTTTCACCTGATCTTAGTGTGTGTGTGTTTTTCTAGTAGTGTTTCAGAGTCTCATTGGAATTCTGGTTGGGATTTCATTGAAGCTACAGATCGTTTTGAGTAAAATAGTCATTTTCTCAGCATTAATTCTGCCACCCATGACCACGAGTCTTCTTTTTAATCTCCTAGTGCATTCTCCAATTTCTTCATTGTTTTAACATTTTCATCATGTAGGACTTTCACCTCATTAGTTAAGCTCATTTGTGCAAATTTTATTTTACTTTTTAAAGTTATCATGTCTGGGGTTCTTCTCCTTCTTTCTCTCTTACCCTGTTAGCATGCAAAAAGTCCCTGGGTATTTTTAGTGCTGATTGCATCAAAGGGCTTCTGGCGCACTCTTTAGGGTGTAGGATCAAACAGTCTGAAAACAGAGATAACTTGGTCTCTTCCCTTCTTGCCTGTGTCTGTGTCATTTATAGTTACTGCTTTGCTGTGCTTTCCTGACCTGGCCATGAGTGCAAACGCTATTTCCAGCCAGAGTGGAGAGTGGAGCGGACACCCTGTGGCATTCCTGATGTTGGAGGAAATGCTTTCAGTTGGTCCCTGTTTAATGCAGTGTTGATCGTTGGTTTTTGTGGACGGCCTTTGTTGTGTGGAGATGGGTCCTTTCTGTTCCTACTTCCTTCAGAGTGCTCCTCATCAAGGGATGCTGAACTCTGTTAAGAGCTCAAGGACATGGAGGTTTTAATACTTCTATTTAGCCCACTCTAATAAGGAGGCTCATTTTTATTAAAGTTATTAACTTTAAAGCTTTTCTTACACATCTCATGCCTACATTTAAGTGAAAAAAATTACAAAGTGTGTGAAAAATGAATATGACCTTGTTATTAATTTTTAGTATATTTCTCCTTTTTTTGGTTCTTGTTTCTTCCTTACACCTTAAATTAGCTAATTCTCTCTTGTCATGAAGTAACTATTTTAACAACCCAGGATATCTCCTTCTGTGTTGTTCTTTATTGTTGCCTCTTCAAATAACATGCTTACATACCACACACACACACACACACACACACACACACACACACACACACACACACTGTTTTGGGGACATTTTGTCCTTTATTCATTTAATGAGAAAAAGTGCAATTATATTATTCAAACATTTCTATACTTTTGTGCCAATAAAAATTATGTTCAAGTGTATTTTAGATAATTTCCTTCCTTCCTTCCTTCCTTCCTTCCTTCCTTCCTTCCTTCCTTCCTCCCTCTCTCCCTCTCTCCCTCTCTTCCTTCCTTCCTCTCTCTCTCTTTCTTTCTTTCTTTCTTTCTTTCTTTCTTTCTTTCTTTCTTTCTTTCTTTCTTTCTTTCTTTCTTTCTTTCTTTCTTCTTTTTTTCCTGAGACAGGGTTTCTCTGTGTAGTTTTTTGGTGCCTGTCCTGGATCCCGCTTTGTAGACCAGGCTGGCCTCAAACTCACAGAAATCCACCTGGCTCTAATCTCCTAGCTGGGATTAAAGGCGTGCTGCCCAGCTTTAAATCATTTTCATAAAAAAAAAAGTCTGATATTATTCTACAGAAAATATATGCCCCTCTGTTGAAAGATTGTTTTCCCCAGAGTCATAGTAACTGCAGGTTCCTAGCCATCTGTCTACATGGTATTTTCCTGTGCCTCGGTGGTGAGTCTAACACCCCCCCCCCCCCCCCCCCCCCCCCCCCCTGTGACCTGCCTTTCTGTCTGGTTTTTGGTTAGCT